AAAATTTGTCTTCACTTTATTTGCATATCAACCAACAGGTTGTGTATATAAACCTGCTTTCCCCTCTGGTCTCTCAGTCACTGACGAAAGCTAGTGGATACTAGCTGAAACGTCTGACGTTTTCAAAATCATATCCAGTTACTTGAGTAACTGTTTTTTGGCATATCCCCTGTGTGTTTTGTAATTAAGATGGGCAGAGATAAGACATCACATGAACCTGCCTTGGGAAATAATGTCACAAACCGAGGATTAGAGCCCAGGTGTGAATTGCTAAGCTGCTGCCAAGTGATTAGTGCAACAACAACCACCCCCCCCACCCACATTGTAAAACTGGGTGCTAAAATATCCGTAGTCCGTTATTGTCACCTAACTCGCCTTATCGCGGCGGTGTGAAGTGACGTGTAGGTAAGGATGGGCTTCTTTTAATTTACTGGCAACTCGGTGATAAAGCAAAGAACACAGATTGTGGAGTCATTATGTTTATAGACCACTTATTTCTCGGCTACGACTCAATAATGTCAGGAAGTTTACGTTTAGATGTAGTTTACCAGATTTGCCCGAATAAATGATTTGCCTGATAATGCCCGAAAAACTCTGTGTCTACGTTGTCGTTGTTGCTGAGTGCAGATTTTAATATTCTTGTATAATGTTTTATTGTTTTTAACGCCAAAGATCTTTTAAACAAATTGTTCTTTTACAAATGTATATTATGTACTGTAAAATTAGCGCAATTTAGTCATTGTGACTACCAAGTTGATTGTACAATAAAGTTTAAAGTTTATTTGGTTTCTCAGGTCTGATTATGCAAAATTCTGAGGAAAGAGATCTGAAGACGGAAGTTCAGTTTGCCCATTATCTCCTCCTTGTAGCTTAGTCCACTTTGCAGGGCTACATCTTGATCAATTCTTTGAAAACAGCAAGACGGAAATCTCACTTCTTGGAAGGTACATTTGTAGAAGGGAAAGAAATAACCATGTCAGCAATACACATCTGTTTCAAGGAGTTCAACTGGGTTCACATAGATCAAACTTGCGGTTAGAGATTGTACAGTGTATCTGATAAAAGCCAGAGACTCACACATACACCTTGCAGTATTCAGCTTCCTATATAAGAAACCAGGATCCTTGTAATCAGTCTCTTAAATATCGTAAATGCGATTACTTTCACAATGTTTTTTTCCAGTTTTCAAACAGTTTTCAATTTGTTTATTGCAGTGTCCACAAAATCCTAACATGAACACCTGTTTTGTGTTTCCAAAAAGAATTGTTTCAGCCACGAGCTTCAAACACTGCAAAATAAATCTACTTTTCCCCTCGTATCTGGAAATAAAACCACCGCAAAAGTATAATGTATTTACAGTAGAGCACAACAAGGATTCCTTCACCAGATCAGAGGAAAGACTGATGGGGTGTGGTTAGGGTTAGGGTCAGGTGACTCCAGACACAATCCAGGGGCAGCCCTGTGGTCTGGAAACAGCCGCCCTAAACACACACTTGTGTTCCAAATTAGTTTTGTAAACTAGATGGTTTTCTCAGTGGAAGGCTGGTTTTCCAATAAGTTCTGAATGGTTGGACAACAGCCGCTCCTAAACACACACTTGTGTTCCCAATTAGTTTTGTAAACTAGGTGGTTTTCTCAGTGGAAGGCTGGTTTTCCAATAAGTTCTGAATGGTCGGACAACAGCCACCCTAAACACACACTTGTGTTCCCAATTACTGGTAGTTTTGTAAACTAGATGGTTCTGTCAGTGTGTACAGTAGAAGGATGGTTATCCAAGAAATTCTGGATGGTGACAGACAGTCATTATCATCATATCCGGGCTTTGATTTATAGTGTCCCAGATAAACAAGCATTACAGAAATCTCTTTAATAGCATACAGCTATGATATTAAAGAGATACCGGTAATATGATAGCTGTATGATATTAAAGAGATGATATCATACAGCTATGGTCTTGGTGATGGCCATACCAAATACAGACTTATTAACAACTTGCAGTCGTTAATCCATAAGTAGATCTGATATCATTACGTCAAACATGTCCTCTGCATATGATTATTCACTGCTTTGAGGTTGCTTTGATGTGGGTCTGCATGGGGGGGTGTAGTGATAACGAATTACACAAAATTTTTGCCGCCGATTACGAGTTACATTAAATTCTCAGAGCTGTTCACGAACAATTACTCACTACGACTAATGTACAGCAATTGATTACGAATTACGATGATTTTGGGTGGTTGCCTACGGATTACCTTACCTTGTCCCATCCTATGGATTACGAAGGCTAAAAGGCCTGATTACGCCTTACAAAAAAGGGCATGCAGGCCCTCTTTGATTCGGTGGGCCACAAGCCTTACCCATCCACATGCCTGGAGACAAACCTTGAGTCCAGCTGAAGGAATTTATCTTATTAAGAAGATAAATGTCGGCTGTGGTGGGGTCAAGGACAGGGATTACTTGAACAAGATGGCAGTAGCACGGGTTCAACTGATCCTGTAAACGGTACAAGGGTGGCAACGTGGTCTTGTGGTCACTGGTTAGTAGCCTCTACCAGGCCTCGGGAGGCGGCAAACTGTACTTTTCCAGTGGACCAACTCCCCCGGGATGTTATCTCTATTTGGCCAATTTCTACTCTTTCCAGCCGCCTCCTGAAGCCTGGTAGAGGCTAACTGGTTAGGGTTGTAACTTGTTGACTCACAATCTCAAGCTTCTTGGTTAGAATCCCTGGCAGGCTCCATGGTTGTGTCCTTGGGAAATGCACTTTACACCTATTTCCTAACTTTGCTCAGGTGAAAAATGAGCATCAGGCCTCCGTTACGGACTCCTCACCTCTCTACTTGGATCGAACCTAAAGTCGGAGGTCCCGTGTTTGTGGACAGCCACACCTTGGGTATGTTAAAGATCCTACAACACTAGCTAGTACTTGTCAAAAAGAGTAAGGGTCCTTCCCGATATGAGTTGTCCAAATTGTGCACAGCTTGTACTGTACTGTACAGAATGGCATGTTATGCCTAAAGGTGGTTTACCGGTTCTGCGAAACAAATACAAACTGGTGCTAAATCCTGTAAACAAAACAGTCCTAGCTTCCTTCCTGCTAGCCTTGGGTGTGTGTACGTTTCTGCACAGTGTTTGTGTTCAGGTTATGGTTCATGTCTAGTTTCCTCATTCCAGCGTGACAGTCAACCATGCTGATGTTCATGTCTAGAAATGTAAGCAGCTGATGAGAGTCTATACTGGTTGTGTAAAAAGAATCCATATCGGGGTCGTGTGGCGCAGTCGGTAGTTCGGCTCACACCCCAGAGGTCCCGGGTTCGAATCCTGCCCATGTCACCGATCTTGTGCCCTTGGGAAAGGCACTTTACTGTTTACACAACTTTCCTCACTTCACTCGGGTGAAAATGAGTACCTAGCTTCGGTTAGGGACGTCCCTCGGATAGGACGTTAAATGGAGGTCCTGGGACAGCCACACCCGCACACGTTAAAGAACCTACTGCACTTATCAAAAAGAGTAGGGGACCTTTCCGGTGTGAGTGGTTCAAACCTTACAGTACGGTCTTACGTAGCTTGTGCATGTACGTACATGTACAAAACTGGTATGTTACGCCCAAAGGCGGTTTACTGGTTAGGCGAAACAAACAAACAAACAAAACCCTTATACCCTATGCTTTACCAACTGATGGAACTATTTTCGGATCACGTCTACTACTAGTAGTACTACAAGTTTCCTCATTCCAGGGTGACAGTCAATCATGTTCTCCTCTGGGCGGAAGTGAATTTTTTGGCGACGCCTTTGGGGCGGAGGCATTTGTGTAAGTACTATGATCGCTTTGAAAGAATTTCAAAAATTGCACGAATGCGTTCCCCAGGGAATTGGTTTGGAGGAAACCTTCGGCCATGTGGTTTTTGGATCAAGCAGGTAACTTACACGGGGTGCCCACGTGCCACCCATCCAGCTGCCTGGCATGATTAATTACTGGCCATCAGTCTTCTCCCCACACCATGGACAGAGAGCACAGCTGTCTTTGGCCAAAGACCATATTCAAACAGGTCACAGAGAGAAAAGAAATTATCCGTCCTTTTGGAACCCACAAAAGGTAAAAAAAAGTCAAAGGAGTAACAACTTCAGACCAGACATAAAATCCAGTCTCTGGTGGAGGATAGAGTGAAGTGGAGGATGGTTTCAGTTTGGTTCTAGCGGGAACTCGACCAAAGTAAAGTAAGTAAGTATGTCATCATAAAATCTATATTGCTGGGGAAGAACGGCTGATTCCTCCTATACGTGTATTTGGTATATTGCCCCACACCTCCTCCACCCAGCCTGTAAATTTCACTACGTGCATGTCTTTATAGCATAGGGAAATATGTTTTTCTGATAATTGTAATGTAGATTGCTAGCTCCACCACATGAAATAATATATATCATTCAGTCGTCGCCTTGGCAATGATTTTTATTGCCTCACCCTTGTTGCATTTTGTTTCCTTCTGGCAGTGGCTACTCTCCAAGCAGAGGTTTGGGTTTTGGCTTATTTTTGGCGTGTCTTTAGACTTTTTTATCTAGGTGAAAGGTGAAAGAAAAATTCCAGTGCAAAAAAGAAACCCTGATAAAAAAAGTCTAAAAGCACGCCAAAATAACCCAAAACCCAAACCAATGCTTGGAGAGTAGCAGTGGCTACATTGTTTGTCCTGTCGCTTGTGTTACGTTTAGATGTGTTTTGAAACAAATGACCACAAGGGGGGCGGGGCATTCTTGGCCACTTTTCAGCTAGACTGTACAACTTTTAGACCCTCAAATAATCTCAAGATGTTGACTGAATTGTACCTAATCTACCACCAGCTTAACACACCAGCATCTCAGGCACACAGCGCGGCGGCAGCTGGCTACATTACACCGAACAACTTGTGACACCTAACCCTTGAACATCTAACTTAAAACATTGTTTAAAGCTATATTTAAGGCTAGTATAATAACCCAGACATCCTCTCCTTTTGTGTTCCCCCAGTGTACCTGAGCTGCCTGTCGAATGAGCCCAAAGAGAGCGTGGTGTCCCAGCTGCTCTCCCGCCTGCCTCTGCTGAAGCCGGGGAACGCCGAGGCGAAGGCTGAGTACATGAAGCTGCTGCCCAAGATCCTGGCGGACTCCATCGAGCACGGGCGGCACCTGGAGGAGAGCCGGCAGCTCCTGTCCTACTCACTCATCCACCCTGCCATCAGGTGGGCTTTCTACTGCACATTTCTACACAGTGTAGTGTTCTCACCAGGATTTTTTCACAGCGTAGGGGTCGCATGGACCAGAAAAAATGTAACTCTGAGACACTATTTCTCACTTTTTGATGGACAGATTTTGTAAAGTTTATGTTTTCCCTTTGCTAAAGCTAAAGTAATATTTTCATTTTTTGGCAAGATTTATTAATTTCTTACAAAAAAAAAACACCCCTATGCTGGTTGAAATACAGCATGGGGGTACAAATCACAGCATAGGGGGTCCAAATTACCTATGCGCAAAAGGCCTGGCGAGAACACTGCATGATGATGATTCCGTATTGCCCAAAGTATCAGCCTGACCACACGTCAAATCGCTCAAAGGCTGGAGGGCGATCCGACTTGCAGGATGGCTGGGACAGAGGGCGATACAGAATACATGTCATACCTACCCAAGAAAACTTTGAGCCAAGATTTGGTGTTCCTAAACCCAAAAATGTAAAAGTAAAAGAATGTCATCAATTCCATTGTCGGAATCCTGTCTTCGAAGTTTCTTAAGCGGTGCACGCGGTAAGGGCTAAAAGCATTCAAATCATTCTATGGAAGCCCGGGCCTTACTGCTTATAAGGCCATGTTGATTTGATTATATGGATGACATCCTCGGGAACCCCAAAATTGATGCGCGTGCGAATAAAAAAAAAAGTTTTGCAAAAAAAAAAAGTTCTTTTCATTATGAAATCTACATGGTCATGAGGGTTGAACAAATGGGACAGAATATGGTTTGGCGAATAATCTAGTCTTCAACTTCATTTCTTACAATTTCGTCTTTTTTCGTTTGATTTTGGCATTCTACGACATTGGTATGGTTTTTTTGTAACTTACGGTATATTTTTGCTCATTTTGCAACTGTTTTGTACGATTTACAATATGGGTGAAAACTTTTTTTTTTTTTGAAACGGCCGAAAATTCATGCGCGCGCGGATGTCATCCATATAATCAAATCAACATGGCCTAATGTGGTTGAAATGTTCTTGCCCGGCCAAGTGGCCAGTCTGTACATTGAGATTGAACTGCCGGTCCGGCAGGTACCATTTACTTCACCTTACTGTTCATTGTTCATTCAATCATTCAATCATTTCTTCCTTCGTTCCTCAGTAACGAGGAGCGCAGTTCGCTGGCGCTGTGGCTGACTCACCTGGAGCCATTTCTTTCGCCTTACTGTTCCCACTACTTGTTCATTCAATCATTCGTTCCTTCGTTTCTCAGTAACGAGGAGCGCAGCTCGCTGGCGCTGTGGCTGACGCACCTGGAGCAGCGCTCTTCGGCGCTGGAGAACCAGCAGAACGGCGGAGGCGGTTGTCACGGTGACAGCATCAGTCCCCACGGTGACCAGACGCCGTACGGCGGAGGCTACCCCGCCGACCTGGCCTACCATGTAAGTAACAGATATGCCATGTCCTTCAAATCAAAATCAAATCTTTATTAAATATCAACATTGCAGATGTGCCGAAGTGCTTCGGGCACGTCTGAATTGCATTGACATTTTACAATTGTACAACATACAAACATCATCACAATACATAGATTAAAAACATCATCATCATTTAAAAATCAACATCATAAGAACACGTAGGTTAAAATAGTAACAATTTCAGTTTAAAATACAATATATATATATATATATACATAACTNTCTACCACCAGCTTAACACACCAGCTTCTCAGGCACACAGCGCGGCGGCAGCTGGCTACATTACACCGAACAACTTGTGACACCTAACCCTTGAACATCTAACTTTTAAACCTTGTTTAAAGCTACTGTTTAAGGCTAGTATAATAACCCAGACATCCTCTCCCTTTTGTGTTCCTCCAGTGTACCTGAGCTGCCTGTCGAATGAGCCCAAAGAGAGCGTGGTGTCCCAGCTGCTCTCCCGCCTGCCTCTGCTGAAGCCGGGGAACGCCGAGGCTAAGGCTGAGTACATGAAGCTGCTGCCCAAGATCCTGGCCGACTCCATCGAGCACGGGCGGCACCTGGAGGAGAGCCGGCAGCTCCTGTCCTACTCACTCATCCACCCTGCCATCAGGTGGGCTTTCTACTGCACATTTCTACACAGTGTAGTGTTCTCACCAGGATTTTTTCACAGCGTAGGGGTCGCATGGACCAGAAAAAATGTAACTCTGAGACACTATTTCTCACTTTTTGATGGACAGATTTTGTAAAGTTTATGTTTTCCCTTTGCTAAAGCTAAAGTAATATTTTCATTTTTTGGCAAGATTTATTAATTTCTTACAAAAAAAAAACACCCCTATGCTGGTTGAAATACAGCATGGGGGTACAAATCACAGCATAGGGGGTCCAAATTACCTATGCGCAAAAGGCCTGGCGAGAACACTGCATGATGATGATTCCGTATTGCCCAAAGTATCAGCCTGACCACACGTCAAATCGCTCAAAGGCTGGAGGGCGATCCGACTTGCAGGAAGGCTGGGGCCGAGGGCAGTTCGCTGGCGCTGTGGCTGACTCACCTGGAGCCATTTATTTCGCCTTACTGTTCCCACTACTTGTTCATTCAATCATTCGTTCCTTCGTTCCTCAGTAACGAGGAGCGCAGCTCGCTGGCGCTGTGGCTGACGCACCTGGAGCAGCGCTCATCGGCGCTGGAGAACCAGCAGAATGGCGGAGGCGGTTGTCACGGTGACAGCATCAGTCCCCACGGTGACCAGACGCCGTACGGAGGAGGCTACCCCGCCGACCTGGCCTACCATGTAAGTAACAGATATGCCATGTCCTTCAAATCAAAATCAAATCAAATCTTTATTAAATATCAACATTGCAGACGTGCCGAAGTGCTTCGGGCACGTCTGAATTGCATTGACATTTTACAATTGTACAACATACAAACATCATCACAATACATAGATTAAAAACATCATCATCATTTAAAAATCAACATCATAAGAACACGTAGGTTAAAATAGTAACAATTTCAGTTTAAAATACAAATATATATATATATATACATAACTGTCATGTCCAATACACATTCACAAGTCTTTTACGGCTCTCACAACGAAGGAGTCTTTCATGATATCTATAAGACTGGTCTATACCAGGGCTCTATTTGGGGAATAGGTGCACAGATGTAGCCTCTACCAGGCACCACGGATCGCTGGAAAAATAGTAGAAATTGGCCAAAATAAAGGAATAATATACCAGGGGAGTTAGCCGGCCAGAGAAGATCCAATCCGCGACCCACGGAGCCTGTGTGGAGCCGCTATCTTCTTTGAAGTTCACTAATCGCTATCTAATAGGTGCAAAGTGGTGAAGTACCCCTTTTATTGCTCTCTGACTTATTGCGATCCGCGGTGCCTGGTAGAGGCTTGCACAGGTGCACCCGACCTAAGAAATTAGGTGTACAAAAACTTTTTAGGTACACCATGTAAGATGATTATAATAAGTAGAATGTCAGCAAAAGCTAATTATGTTTCATTTTTTAAAGAACAGTATAGTACAAGGAAGATTTTCTTTTTTTTTTCTGACACAAGAATATACTGTATAGTAGCATACATGTACATATAACATTTTTACATACGTAAACCTACGAATGCATTTCAGATAATATTGATTTTGTATATGTACCTGCCATGTCATTGGAAATAAAAATCAGAATCTAAAGCTGAAAATAGCGTGCGTGATCCTGCCTTTGAACTGAGCGGTTGGATTCCGAATTCCGGCTGTTGTGGCTCACCTGACATGCATGCTACTGGAAAGGGTAGCAGTCCCTAAGACGTTAAGCCGTGGTCCACTGTTCATTGTGCTTGTTGAAAATTAGGGTTATTGGAGAATTTCCCTGGTACAATAAACCTGTAAATACTTTATGTAGCGTCCGTCTTCTCTGTCACGACCAGTGGGAGATTAGCCTTTCAGTGAGCTAAAACTTTTTTTTTTTTTAAAAACCAGGGCAACAACAACGGGTTCCACAACGGGCAGAAGGAGTTCCAGGGGGGGCGGATCAACGGCTGGCGGAACCAGCGCGACTCCGGGATCGTCAGCAGCTGGCAGGACCTGTCGGGCGGCATGGGCGGCTTCATCCCGGGAAATCACGCGCCCGTGCAGAAAACCTTCTCAGGGCCTGCCAACATGAACCCATCCAACAACCAGGGTAAGTCTTCTTCTTCTTAGATACCCTCTAACCACCCCTAAATGGGCTATTACTGAGGGGGAGGGCAGTATGTGGCCCGGCCTTAAACAAAAAAGCCTTAACTGTCGTGGCCTGCACAAGTTGGCATGGCAGTTGATTTCACATACTAATATTGTTTGTGGGAAAAAAGAAAACCTGAAGCAGTCTTTGCATGCAATTAAGACCTGGCTACACCTCTGCAAAGTCTGCCTTGTCGCCCCGACAAGCAGTGTCGGTCATGGGACTAGGTAGGTAGATATAAGCAGATATTTGTATTCATGGCTACCTATGGTTCTCCTCTGGCAGTGGCTTCTCTCCAAGCATGAACCCCTCTAACAACCAGGGTAAGTCATGGGGAAGTAGCTTCATCTGGTTGGCAAGAATATATAAGGTTGACTAGGGAAGGTTCTTTAGCCAACAATCAGTGGGTTTTCAGTTTTCACATTTGTTTCACTGTAGAGGATCACTAAAACACCAGACAAGAAAACCCAGGTTGTGAGTCAGGGTAAGTCAGAAGGATGTAGCAAGGGTGCCAGACTGTTCCTAGGGCTTGACTTGACTTGACTTTATTGGGATCCACACTTAGCTTACAAAAAATGTAGCTATTCTTCCTGTGGTCCTTCAAGACACACACGACACATTTACAAAACATGAATACATTGGCAATTATAACATATTAACACAACTTAAAATAAGGCTATTTACATGTACATCATCACCACTTCCCAGTCTCAGCTCCGGAGCTAGCCTGGGTGCCAGACTGTTGCCAGGGTTAGTATAGAGTGCAAATCCTCAGCTCCAAGGCACACCTCGGGTAGACTCACAACAACATGGTCTGACTTATTTACTGGCCCTAAGAACAGTCTGGCACCCAGGCTAGAAGGAAGCAGAGTTGTGTGGAAAAAGTGACATGTGGCTTGCATCACAGTTTTGGCAAAACTGCAAGAAATCTCTCTGCTAAATCTCAGTCAGTGTTAGCAAAGGAAATAAGTTAAAATACAACAGTACAATCAATATTCCAAACTATGTTTATGGATTACCACTGAATCCAAACAATTGGAATTGAAATATACTGATTGCTGCCAAACTATCAATGTCAGATCTTGTAATAGCCCAAGAAGGACAAACTTCAAACTTTTCTGGGTATCACTATCAATGTCAAAAAACATCTGAAAGTTTCCTAAAGTTCAGGGATTTCGTTTGCTTCCATGATGAGAACTGACCCAGAATGATCTCCTTGTACTGGAAACCGCCAGGCTCAGGGCTCAGGACCCAGGACTGTGATAGCCACAGATGGCTGAGGTATTTTTGGCAGATAATCTTCCACAAACACTGATGTACACACACATGTCCTGACCCTACTGAGGTCAGACCACCATGAAACTAAAGGTCTGGAGTAAGCTGCTCCTCCTGTGCTGAAGCATTGGTAGAACGTATGTACTGTGCCTGCGCCCAAACCATTTTTTTTTTCTTCACGGTTTTCATTGGATGTCAACGTGGCATCAGAAATTGCCCATTGCAGACAACATCTTTTCTGCCACAACATTTAAAAACTACAGACTGAAGGTCCGGAGTAAGCAGCAGACATTGGTAGAGCCCAGCGTGTCGGCAGAATATACTGTTCCTGTGCGGGACATCATTCTTTGTTCTGCCAAAGTGCTATGTACAGTATTAGTTTCACACAGGTGCAGTCACTGTAGATTCTGCTGACTTGCTACCTAGAAGGTTATGTTTTTGTTTCTATGTATTTAGCACAATAACTCAAGAAGCTACATACATGTAAACTGATTGTCATGAAATTTGGTAGGTCACCAGGGTACATGTACATGTAGGTTTTGACCTATATAAGAAATGATTAGATTTTGCACCCTCTGTTCACATATATTGACTGTTATTGTATGTGTGTGTGTGTGTGTGTGTGTGTGTGTGTGTGTGTGTGTGTGTGTGTAGCT